CGCTCTCCCCCGTCCCCCTGGGACTGACAGCTCTCGAGTAATTAGCGAACTCGCCACAGGCCGCTGTCCGGGCGCGGCGCTGGGGAAGGCTGCCCATGTAATGAACCCGTTCGCGGCGGACCCTGGGCACGGCGGGGCACGGCGGTGCAGGGCAGGGAGAAGAGGGAGAATATGGGGTAACCGTCTGAACGGCAGCGCGCACTGGGAGGGGTCGCAAGACGGAACAGCCTCCCGAGCTCTGGAAAAAGCACCTGCTCGGCGGCGGCTGTGGGGTTCGTCCGGGCTTCAATTAAAGGAAGTGGTTGGTATTGTTTTACGGAAGTCTTAACGATTTACTGGTTGGGGTTCAGCGTATTAAAGAAATTGTTCTGTCCTGTGGAGGTAATCACAGTAATTACACGCGCACGTTGAATGCTATTAGAATAGTTATACTACAGTGCGTTTTAACAGCACTCGTATGTAATGCTGCAGAATTTTGGAGGGCTCAATTTCTTGTACGATCGAGAAACTTCAATCATCGTAAGATATTCGATAAATATGCAGATGCTGTAAAATATATTGGGGCCCGAATTAAATATGGGTGCGAGAAAGTGATGAATTTGAGTAAACGGTCGTCTTGGTGGTTTCCTTACCCTCGCGTCGCCTGCTCTCCCTATTACTGCACTCCAGTTGTAATCTTCCAATTGTCATGCGTGTTTAAGTAAACATGCTGTCATTGCCACGCAATAACTTTGAGATATGCTGTAAAAAAAATTCCCGCTAGTATAATCTGTCAGGCAGTTCACGCTGGTCGCTCCGCCGTGTGACTCGGGTGTCGTCAGCTCCGCTGTCCGGATCGCCTGTCCTCCGGAGCGGTGCTTGCTGGCGAGCGGGTGGCGTGCCTTTGGACGGGTAGGGGGCGGCGCGGGCGACCGCGACGGGCTCTCGGGCCGGAGCCGCCGTCGATCCCGGTTCCGTGCACGCTGCAGGGGGCAGCTGCGCGCGTCCCCGCGGCCGCGCCCGGACGCCGCCTGTATTCCTGGCGGCGGCGCCCTCGCCGCCCGAATTGACTGGTCGCGCACGGCGCCGGGCCAGGGATCGCGGGCGCTCGTGGCGGACGCCGCCGACGCGAATGGGGATGCAGCGGGGGCTGATTGTCTGTGGCGAGCGAGTGGGCGAGTTGCGTTAAATTTCGCGATACTTTTTCTTGGAATGGGTTAATTGGGGAATAAACGAGTGTTCGTTGTAATGCAATACTAGATATTACGCAGTAACTCGTCATTAAAGAAGTTCGAAAAACTAAGGTGCCTCTTTTAAATATCCAATTCGGATGCGACTTCTCTGGAAGTCGTCCACTTAAGGCCCCCTCTGAATGTTGTTAAATGTAACTTTTTGCGGTATGGGGCACCATATGGTTTCACCTGGTATTACGGCGAAGTTTCGTAATGTAGTGCTAATTTCTCTAGAGAATATTGGTGGACTTCAATTTAATTTAAGAAATGTGCTTACTTTCTGAAAAGCCTTCAGTCATGACATTTCTCACAATTTTTGTTCCAAGTTTCTCTTTAAATGGTCTTTGGATGAATATGGATCTTGTTGGTATTAAAACGCCAACAATTCTAGGTAAATGACGCGTTTGTCTGTTATGCTGTGTGCTGTTCAAATGCGTTTGGGCCCTTTTGCATCTATCCGCAAATTTAAAGATCGCGCAAATCCGATTTGAACAAAAGTCGTTTCTTTTGTATACAACTTGAAGTCTGCTCCCCTTTGCCGTCGTGCCTCCCACCTGGCTATTCTTTGCCGTCACAGCACGCACATCTCCAGGGTGTTTTTCTCTCGATTTCTTCGGCTTCGGAGCGGCTGCCACGACATCGCGCAGTAAGTCTGCGGAAGCTCCGGGAGTGCCACCGGCTAATAAACGCGGGGCGGCGCCGCTATAAAGCAAAGTCGCACGTTCGCGTTTAACAGCTTTCCCTCGAAGGGCGAGGCGAGGCGAGGCGAGTGCGTGGTGGGTTGCGCGTGGCGGCGGGGGCCGGGGCCGGGGCCGGGAGCTGTCCGGCGTGGCGGCGGGCGCCGTTCGCTGGCAACGGCGTCGATCCCTTTGAGCCATGCAAAAGCCGGATGAGGCAACGGGATCGGTGGATTATGTCGAGACAACTGCGGCTTAAGCCTTTGCGGGCCGGATGAGGGAGCGGGGCACGCGGGGGCGAGAGCGGGATGGGAGGGGGAATGGATCGGGATGGGATTGGGAGGGGAGGGGGCAGGGAAAATGCGGGGTCCGGGGACGGGTGTGGGCGAAATGCGGAGAAAGCCCTGTCTCCTTGCCCAACGAGCCTTTAGACGCAAGGAAAACCAACGAACGCCCTGGGGGAAGCGGCCGGTATTCCGTCCCTTCGCACTTTGCGTGAATCGTGCCCCCCCCCCGTATAACTTATTAGTTTGTTTTGTTCGCGAAGTGTCAAATATTGGGCGTGCTGGCGTTTAAAGCGGAGCAAAATGTTGAAGGGTAATTTTTTACAAGTCAGCTAATTTCAAAAATTTAGTTTCTTGACTGATGCCGGTGACATCCCGCTAAATTGTTGAATTTTAAGTATAGTAAAATAATTAAACCGTCTAGATGCGGATTTTCCAGCAAATGTCAAGCCAGGTTTTTCCTAGAAATTTTTAAAATTGTATGTAAAGTAGAAACTCTTCCTTCAGGGCGCAGGTTGTCTTTCCGAGCCAGGTGGCTTGGAACTTAATGACTACACGACGTGGCAATCCCTGGATGGCTAGATGCGATTCTGTCAAACTTTTCGTGTTTTCCCGCGTCAACGTACATATCTTTCAACATGGCATGCCGAATTTCATGGCTAGTTTTGTGTAACGAAGATTAGTCTCTGCGGTGGCCGTGGCAAACTCGTAAAACTACCCTCCGTGGCAACGGTTGGCAAGGGCGCGTAACCCAACGAATCCCCGTGATGCGGGCGAACCAGTGGCAACTATTGTGGGCTCTCTCTCCTCCTCCTCCTCCCTTCCGGGTTCCAGCTCAGCGACGGGAGTTTATCCGCCCCCGCGCGAAAAAGGCTGCCGCCGTTCCCCGCCCCCGCCCCCTCAACGGCCAGCGGCACCCGTCTCGCTTCATCCGTTCGTGACGTCGGCGACTCATCCCCCTGCAATTCCGCAGCACAGCTGCTGCGCGTCGCGGCACCTAATAGTTACTTTTCGTTTGGCCAAAGTGCGCTGCTGTATAAGCGGGTGGTGGGCAAACGGTCCACTTCAAGCCGCGTCCCAGCCGCCGGTTCTGGGGTGGGAATCCTAGAGGTCAGTCTGATAGGTAGGAACGGTTTCATGGGATTATTCTCTTGGCAAATAGTGTAGGCAACGTAACGTGGTTCTTAGGTGCGGTGGGTGAACTTAGGAACCGCGCAACAACGTAATTCCTGTAAAACGCCCTTCCAAATTAACGGAAGAAACGTTAGATTTGATTAAATGCATCTTTAAGTTTTTGAAGTGTTAATTTATTACGAGAACTCGCCATTTAGGTTTTTGTCTGATCTGCATATCTGGTTTTTGGGTCTTCGTTGGAAACATACTTGCCTTGTGTGCCTGTCGCTAATTTTGTAGTCAAAGAGGAAAGCAGAAATGAAAAGAGAATTCGTCATTAAAGCTAGTTTTTATCATTGAATGGTGAAGAGGGACTGTAGTAAACACCTAAATTGTTCATGTTAAGACACTTGTTAAAAGTACGGCATAGTTTCCAGAGGGTAATTACGCGGAATCTTCGTAGTAATGCATCGCTCGCCTCCCTCTCTGGATGGTTTCTCGGTTCAAATGTTCAGAGAGCATGTCCTCTTCTGATGGACCATAGGCTTACGGACCATGGGCGCTCTGTGTTTGTTGCAAAGTATAGAATGACGGGGAGACAGATTCATTAAGATTGCAAGAGCACCAGTTTATTGCGTATTAGCCAAAACATAAATTTGTTTCCTTCTGTTTTACTTCTGCTCCATTTGTCATGGTTTTTCTTTCCCGTCTACTGCTACGCAGGTAGGGGAAAATATGCTGCGGGGAGGCGTGGGGGGGGGGAAGAAAAGCTTTTTGAAAAGTGAACGCGGTCGTTGTTGTGGACATATTGTTAACTTTCATATATTACGTTTGCCGCACGATTTACGTGTATGGGTCGTCGTGTTGCATCGACTACGTGTATGTATCTTTCAGAACGCGCACGCTCGACAGGCGCTAAGGGCGTGTAAGCATCCCTATCTCGTGGCTGATCTGGCGGCATAGATTGGACGGCGGCGGCAGGGGGGGGCGCATCTTAAACCGCGTGTCTATTGGAGGAGAAATTGGTCAGAGCATGTGGATCGATTCTCATTAGATTTCGCCACGCCGCGCACCTCCCCCCCGTTACCATTCCTCCTCCCCTCCCCTTCCCCCTCCCTTCCCCCTGGTGGCGCACGCGTTCACTCGTCTAGCGCCCTCCCACGGCCGAGGAGGGAGATGTTGCATCGACCGGGTTTAGAGCAGATGCCCGACAGCATAGGCCGGGCGAGCGCGACTGTCAACTCCCCCGTTGGAACCGCGTACAAGACTCGGTGCAAGGATAGGCGACAGCTTATGTTGCACAATGCGGCTTTGCGTAATGGTTGCCAACGTTTGCGTTTTGCTGGAAATCCGATTTATGCGAGGATTATTTATCATGTAATGTGGGTTATCCTTCACGTTTCTCGTCATTTGAACGCGGCACGGGAAAGGTTTTTGGCACTACGAGCGACATCCGTGTAGCCATCTGGAAGGGAATATTTTTTCCATGCGGTACTAATTTCTATTTATTAATCTTCCGTAAATTAATTCTAGCTTCGTTTCTTTTCCATCGGTATATGTAGGACCAAACACAAGGGATTATTTCAGCTGTTGTAATCATTAGCAGCTGTCGCGCCTGAAGGCTTTTGTAAACATGTTAAGATATATTACGAAGTGTTTTTCCTTTGTTTAATGGTTTTGTTTGCATTTCTGACAAAAGCTTTTGTCATTTGCAGGTTCCCGGTGCCGATGAGAAGAGAATGAACTTGAAAGATGCCGGAACAAGTGGATCGCTTGCCTTCAAAGGTAGTGTGCCATTTTTCTTCTTTACGTTTTTGATGTGCCTGCACAAGAAAAAATATTGGTATAATTTACTATAATTTAGTCCTAACAAACGATGGGAAACTTAACGAAAGTAATTTCTGTTCAGATGACAGTACTTTTCTTCATGCTACTGTTATTAATTCATCCCGGGTATCTGTGAAAAAGGTCCCTTGTTTCTTCACGTTAGTTCAAAGTTCAGATTTGTCTAGTATTGCAATTGTTCCAATCGTTTGAACGAACTCTTCGCTAGTTATTTCTTCCTTGCATGTCGAATTGTCAAGGGCGCGCATGACGGACTTGTGGGGGGAAAAACCAATCTCCACGGGCACATCAACCTACGTGCTTTTTCTCTTTACGAGCCTACTCTGCGCACGCTTCGGAGTACCTCTTTCCCAAATTAACTTAAAATAATCAACTTCATAAATGCAGTTGGTACTGAACTTGAGTGCAGTTAGAATATTACTGACGCGTTACGGGACGCAACAAATACCTTGGCTAATATTTTAGCTACGAAGTTTTACTTCATAACGAATAATAATTAACAAACAAATTTGGGCGTAAACGTGCCTTCCGTCGTCTGGAAACTCATTAGTCCATACTATTCTTGCACCTATCAAAACAGAGCTTATAGAAACGTGCAGATAGTGAATTCAATTTATGGTCCCTAGTGAAATTGGTGTGTAGCACTCTTCGGCGGCGAGCGTTGAACACTGTCCAAGCGACGCAGCGGGCCGTCCGCCGCGCCTGCCGTGGATAGCTGTTGTCGGGTGCGTTATCCCGTCCCCGCCCTTTGTACGTGGCTTTGTGCGGCGGCGGCGCAGGGAGCAGCGGCGGCAGCTGTGTAGGCTCCACCCCGCCCTGCCCCTCCCCGCGTTCACCCCGCAGCTACCCGCCCCCTGCTCCGCTGTGCCGTCTGCTTGCTTCCTTGCCTGCCTGCCGGGAGATCGCCCGTCCTCGTTTCGGTAGGGGCCCTTGTGTCCTAGAAGGGAGTTTCTGGAAGGTCCCTTCCTGTCTTTGCCCAGCATGCAGATTCCGCGGTGGCGGTCCTGGTGGGAGAAGGGTTCAGAGGGAAAGACCTCCTACGCTACCATGAAAAAGATCGGGAGTAAAAAGCATTTAACGGAATTTTTTTCTTTGCACTTCATTTTATGTATAGCAGCCATTGCAAATTGGATAATTGATTTTTTTTCCCTATATATTCACCTACAGTTGGGACCCCATACTCCATTAACTTTCTAGATGGACCGGGATATTGAAGTATATTATGTTTTAGTATGTGCTAGGGAAGTGTCGCTTTGCTTGACAGTTCCTGTACGCATCTGTGGTTAACTTGTATGGTACTTAACTTTCATATATGTAATTAGAATTGAATGAACGCAGTTTACGTACAAGGCTACCCGATTAGTATAAAGGAAATGCGACAGGCATGCATGTGTGTAGAAGTCTTGTAATTGATGTAGGCGCAAATGGCTGCCGAAAGGTTAACACCTGTGCCTAGAACGCGGCGTCTCCAGGACAAACTCCTGCCGCGGAAGCTTATACTCAACTTTCGTGATAATTTTCACTCGACGCTGGTGTAAGCCTGCAGTTTCGTAGCCTGGGTGAGAGAGGGGCGCTGCGAGTGTCTCTGCCCCGACGGCGTGGCGACGCGTTGGCCTATCGGTAGGTGGGGCGTCGGCCGTGTTTGCTCCTGATACGCCGCGTCGCACGAGTGAATACCGCCTGGCGCCACCTCCTTCCCTCCCATCGTCGCCTCCCATCTCGCCTTCACCTCCCTTCTCCCGCGGTGAATGCCGTGCGCTGTCGCAGATGCCAGGACCCGCCCTCCCCTTCCTCCCCCCCCTGTCCCCGCCTCGGCTTGCGCTCCCCGCTCCCGATGCCCGGCCTCTTGTCGCTCCCTTGTCTCCCTAGGTGACCTGTGGTCTCTTTGGCCTCCCGGGACTCGCCTGGCCTGGCGCCCGCGGGTCTGCCTGGTCGATAGCGGATTATACGATAGCCTGGACATGGCGGGCTCACAAGGGGACTAGGGTCAGTTTATTATTTTATGCCTCGTTGTTATTTCTTAAAACAGCTGCTAGTGTATTCTGCTTAAAATGCACGTTCGAAAATTACTCTCAAATTCTTTTGTTTCAACCCGATGTTTTTTCTAAATATTTTTCACATTTTTATAGCTTTCTTTCGAACGGGTCATAACTGACGAGCTGTTACAAATGTCAGTTTTGTTCCTTCACGCATTGTCCATGTTGGCACTGTTCGCCGTAGATATACAGATAAGGGTTCAGCAGGTTTGTAGGACGTTACAGCCCTCATATGAATACGTTTCCTAGATTATCCTGCTTTCGACAGTGTTCGTAACGTACGAATTCTATTATACATTTTGTTTTGTATCAACTAAAACAAGTGTTTCAGTAATGTAATAGATGAAACTTTCAACTAATATTGTTTTGCGTTCCCAATTTGGTGATTACACGGACTCACGGTAATTAGTAGGTGAACGTTAACTTCGCGATTAGTAGGCACTTCCTTCTAGTATGTTGTTTTCAGAACTTGAACATAAACTTTTTATTACGGTAGAATGTGCCGCCATCTGATCTCGAATGAAATTTTAACTGCAGGAATAATAGAATAAGCCTCAATATACGCAACAGTTATTACTGTGCCTTACAATTCTATAAGATATACGGTATTTCACAGGAAGAGAGGTGAGACAGGTATTCAGAGAGTGTAGCTGGTATCTAATTTAGAAGGAAATGCTTTCGTTGCGTGACGAAGTTAATGGTTCTTTTAAAATCAACTATTTTCGTCGCCGGACATGTTACTGCCGTGTTACAATTTGATAGAGAAGTAGTCTGCATTTAAAAGTAGAATTCAAACGAGAACTTACAAATTTGTGAAGAGGGCTGTGCGTCGTAGCTGCCGCAATTATTCGTAATGACGCTCATTAAAATGAATTTTAATCAGGACGCGGCATACACATGCCCGTTATCAATTTTAACAAACCCACACCTTTTTAAAATTATCGGGCGCTTGTTCGCGCTGAGAGGAAGTTTCTCACATAATTTCGCAGTCGGCATTAATAAAAAGCTGGAGGCGTTAAGATTCTTGGCGGGGTGACGTCACCCCGTAGTTTCGGCCGGCGGGCGCCCGGCGGTAGAGGCCAACACTTCCCGCCACAAATGCGTGCATCCGCGGCGGCGGCGGCCGCATTCTGTTACTCGTGCTCGCCGTGGAAGTAAGGGGGGGGGGGTCGCCAACCACGCAGACGTTCCCTCCGTACCTCACCCCCACGCCCAACCCGTTCGATGCCTTGTCACCCCTCCCTCCCCCCTTCCAGTCCGGCCTCGCGCCATCGCGCTCTCCCTCCCCGCCGTCCTTTCTCCGGCGCGTCTCCGCCTTCTCGCGTCTAGCGTCGCGGGCTGCTTCTTTTTCGTCTCGTGCTGCTTCGTCTTCTGGGTGGGGCGCCCCCGACAGACGGCAAGAAAGACCATAAAACACCTCGGGAGTGGCGGAAAGCCGCTTTTTTTCCCCCCTTCGGTTTTGAAACGGTCGAGCGCGGATGGCATGAAGTGGAGGCTGCTTGTTGCGGTGGCGGTGGAGGAACATGTCTTGGGAGGATGCGGGGTGAAGGGTGCGCTCGCAGACACTACTCCTTTGTTAGGGCGCTGTCGAACTGAGGAGCCCCCCTGCGGGCCGGGCCTTATCGACGCGTTCAGTTTTGTTAACGGAATGCTGTGCCTGCCCCCCTAATTTCCCTTATCTTTCGGTCGTATTTGTACCGGGCACTGGGAAACCGTGGCGTAGAAAGTGTGTTTAGTGACCGACGCGTTGACAAAGCCCATAGTACGTGGATAGTATCAGTTCGTCGCATTTTTGGCTTCGTTCGGATAGCATGTGGTATTTAGTCTTCTGTTAAGTATCGCGGTTTTGAAAGGTCGAGACCTACATTAGTTGCAATGCATTTGTAACTGAAAAGCGTTCTTGACAAAAGGTTTGACAACTTTGCTTTTTTTTCAATATAATTAAAGGTCTGTATTAAATAGTTAAAGTAGCTGTATTGCATCGAAAACATCCATATTTAAGGGTAAGAAGCTAGTCTTTCTTGCGATGGCATTTGTCCTCGTTTCAAAGGATGTGTTGTTTTACAAATAACAATTTATTAAACAAATAATTATTTACTGGGGTTTGTGTTGTAAATGGAGTGGGAGAACTTCAAAAGGTACTAGGGAAAATGCCACATCAATATGATTTTTGAAAAGGGTTTTGAGATTACTTAGCGTTACCATTTGTGAGAAACAGGCAATTCAAGAATGCGGCGACAGAACGAATGTTGTAACAGTGATACGTGGTAACGTGCTAAAACTGTTATGCGTGTGTCGATCACTCACGCGTCCAATCGTGAAGTATTCAGAATGTGTTTTCGAGATTGAAGGTGCTCCCAATTCCGGGAGTCTCGGGTGCGTCCGTGCGTTCTCTCCGCTGCAGCATTGACGCGTGTGAACCACGTGACCCGCCGGCGGGCGTCGCGGCGGCGGTGGTGACGACGCGTTTCAACAGGCGGAAGCGCGGGGCTGACGCCGCCGCCATCGCCATCGCCACCGCTGGCGAGGGTGATGGCGGCGGCGGCGGCGGGACTGTGTTATCTAGGACGGCCCGCCGCCCGCGGTGCCGCTTGCGACACTCAGCCCCCTTCCCCGGCCGCTCCCCCCTCCCCGCCGCGCGCTTCCCGTTTCGCGCTCGCCGCTTCCCGCTCCGCCTCGGCGCGGCCCGCCCCGTGCCCGGCCGCGTGCGCGTGTGGTGTGGTGTGGGAGGAATTGAAACTAATGAAAATGTTGCTTCTGTAACTTTGCTGAGGAAGCTCCATCTTTGATGTGTTTTCCCCGTTGAAGTAAATACGTAATATAATTTCAATTGAGGATTTCGCTAGTTTTGATCTACTGAAGTTTTACCCAGAGATTTAGACTGAATCGGAAAGGACCCTTGTTTTGTGTATGTGGTGGTTATAATAAGCATACTCTTATAACGACATACGCAGTTCGTACTTAATGTCCCTGCTTTTAAAGTCTTTATACCAAAGTAGCTATGCGCCGTTGGTTGTTCGGTTGTGTTGTTCAGTTAGAAATGTTTATCCCCTTTAGCATTTCTTATTGCTTTTTTTACGGTTTAGTGTATAATTCCAAACCTTATAAACATAAATCAACGGCGTCATGGCGTGCCGAATCGTTTGAAATGTACTCTAATGTAAACAAGAAGAATGTACTTGAATGTCACGGTACATCCTGAATATAAAGTAATATTCCTGCCATAGTTGTAACATTGGAAGCAAAGAATACTTGCTTTCGCGCAGTGATGCTGGGAAATCGGTATCGTAAAGATCGAGATGATTGATCGTATATGGCTATCTTTTTTTTTAAATATGAAACTTGAAGAATCTAATAATAATCAGTATTATTTACTAGTCTGAAGTCGCTCCGTTCCAGACCGCAGTGTTCTGTATTGAACTAGTTTGCTGTGAGATGTCAAAGCTGCGTTACGCAAGGCTTTCGGGAGGATAGTTCGGCTCTAGATCCAAGTTAAACCCAACCGAAGGCGTTGCAACAGAAAACTCCTTTGAATAGTATCATTCTGTTTGTACAATCTCCTCAAACCTGTTTATCTGGGGTCGGAGGGGGCACTGGGGTCGGGTCTAGGACTTCCTTTAGGGAGTGGAAGTTAGTCTTGGTTGGTCATATCAGTCTTCATGTTCTTAAAGGAGTGTTCATGACGTAGCTGGGAACGTAGTAGTTCAATTTAATGATGTGACCGAAGTGGGCAAAGCTTATTTTGCGCATGTTTGCAGTGCTGGACTGCGGGAAGAAAAACTTCAAGCAATGTGTTCAGTGAAAGTTCAGTGAAAAATTTCGTTCGTTGGTGGGTACAGATACCAACAGTAATGACCGATAGGGCTAATGGATGTTCCTTAGCGGGAAGGTCTTTCGTTTAGAGCTGTCTTTTCTTTTTTCTTTTTTTTTTGCCTTGAGTGTTACTGATAATTTAAAGATGAGGATATTATCCGCTGTAACTACAATTTGATAACTGCAATTCCGTTGTTTAATTAATTATTTTGGTTATCTCTTCAGTTTATAAAACTGATTTTAGTTTTCTCGAACCGCATTGTAGCTTTGCTTGAATTTCGCATTATAAGTGACTTCCTGTTACATAATTTATACAATCTCATCTTATGAGATTTATACAAAATGTTTATTTTGGAACTTAGCGATTTTGTTCATCGTGCCCCCTTCAAGCCTGGAACTAGCAGTCGAGGGGAAACCAGTTTGTCCACGAGCTAACTTCCTCGAGTAGGCAAAATTACACTGCTGTGCATTTACTTCGCATTTAATATTTGCTTTATTGTAGTAGTACACTTTCTGACCCAGGCCGATCGGAAGGTAGGTCGCGGCTGGCCGGCCGGAAGGAAACGTTCGTGCCCCGGGCACAATTCAGGTCTCGTTCGTTAATGTATTTACAAAATGCAAGTGGGACGGAAGGTTGTTGCGTGGAGACGGGGAAGTGTTCGGAAAGCAGGTTGTACTTCTGGCGTATTTGAAGTACAGTAGAAGTGAATATTTGTGTAAACGTGTGCGAATTTTGATATTGGGCTCTCAAACACTGTACGTACGAGATTCGGTAGCTATTAGTCGCATTTTGTTAGCGTTGATTTATTTAAATGGAAAAAAAAAACATCGCAAATGTGAAAGCGTCTTCTGTGCTGAGCTAAAATTTAGTTTCACAAAGTCCCCTGCAAAGTGACGGTTAGTATGTGTTACTTTGGGCTATTGTTTTTCGTGCTCTTAATACGGTGCCATCAGTCTAACAAATTTTGAAAGAGAAGGTTTACTTCATATTCTGTTCATTTGGGAGGGCAGTGATGCACTGAATATGCACGGACCCAACTGACCAGAGGCGATCATGTCTAAGTTTTCAGCGGCTACTTTGTTTTCACGAACCATAAACTTTATGAATTGAATGAGTTTAGAGTATTTCGATGTAAACCTTTGTGGGCAGAAGTTCTCTTTGAAAAACATTGAGGAATAGTGACATGTAAGAGTATATTCATGAAGATAAGATTTTCTTCGCTAATCGCATAATTGTTCTATACTACAACGTGCCGAGTGTCAATTTTCGTTTCATGTTGCTCAATTTCGATTTTATAAACTTCGCTATTTGAGCAGTAACAACTTTTTGTATCACGTGGCGTACGAGCTAGTAATATATTCACACGTTACTGAAAACAACGGTATTAAGATTGTATTTCTACAAATTGCACATTTTTAATTGTTCTATCTTTCAGGATTTTGTAGATTCAAGCAAGTTTTTAATCAAGAATTTTTCTCTGAGTGTAGTTATTCACAGAAACCTTTGTTAATATTGATCCTCTGTTTTGGTGATTCATGTCGACTTATTTGATCTCACGGAAATTAGACTAATATTGGTCATTGGAGCCATAAACACACTACCGGTCTACTTGAATAGACCTCCCTGGCGAGAGTTCCGCTACTTTGGTTATTGCTGTCCGTAACAGTCCCCCGGCCCCCGACTACTTGAGCAGCCGTGCGTCCAGGTGTGCGTTACGTCGTCGGGTCGGGGAAGTGAACCCTTGAACTCTGACCCTCGGGCGGACAATGCGAGCGCGTGAGAACACGGTGAAGCGTCGAGTCTCTTTTGCATACGAAAACGCGTCTTAAGTCTGGGCTGGCTCGCTCGCTGCCTGCCTGCCTGCCTGCCTGGCTGGCTGGCTGGCTGGCTGGCTGGCTGGCTGGCTGACAGTTTCGGTGCATGCATTTCACTAATCGCCTGTCTTCGAACATCCACTAGGTTATTTCTTGCTCCGTAGACTCACGAAATGGATTCGGAAGAATAAAATATATCCTTCGAAATTATTTTGTTTGGTAATACGACGACTATTGGCTCGTGCAGTTTGTTGTCCATGCTGTGTGGTAGTTAAATGGTATATAATTCAATTGATTCAGTTCAATGCTAACGGAATTCAATTGTAAAGAATGGCTACTGGAGTGTTTGAGGAGAGGTGTTGGCTAAAATCGGCAACGTCTGTTTAGATATTCACTTTTAAATTCATCGGAGCTCTGATAATGTAGATCGTATCTTTACATTCAATCTGTACGATGGTATACAAACCTTTTCAAAGTGTCTGTTAAAAAAAATTGATTGTGTGTATTGCAAGTTGTCTATAGTGACATTTTTAATTGGAATTTTTTTGTGTAAATTTTTTTGTTTTTACTTGTAATAAAAATGTTCTCACACGCTAATATTTAATACTTTAAAATTTCCATGTCCCGTAGGCCTGTGGGTCTTGTGCGTTTCGTATTTCACCGAATGCTGCGGAGTGGGTTGGGACGTGGGTCTTCGCATGGAGGTGGCGGATTTTTGCATATCCGCGCTGATGACATTCCCTTTTGAGCGAACGCTGCCATCGCCGCTTATCTCAAATTACGTTTTCACTCTGGCCAGCGCGAGAATTGGCAGCTTAACGTCCATTTGAATTATGAATCTTCTATTTCGATAAATCGATTATTTCGCGAGAGTGGAGATTTCCATTTCCTGCGTATCTGTGCGCGGGCGAGAAAATGGCGCCCTTCCTCGTGTGCTAATTTATCTTATCGAGTGCTGCTTTTACTGCAAATGTTTTCGGGTCATGTTGGTAATAAGGAAAATCGCAAGGCACTTCGTAGTACCTTTTGAACGAGATAATGCGTTGTCACCATGACCTGTGTGTGCATATTCATGTTAACTGCAGTAACGTAAATGTGGTTGACGTAACGGTTGTAACTGAACACTTGTTAACGTTTTTATCAAAGTAGTTCTGTAATGTTATGTTAGGTCATCAGCTCATTTATGTAATTTGTGTACTAATATTGTATTAATTTTGTTTCCAGGTCTCATGACATGTCGAAAACTTGTAACTGCGCTGTGAAGAGCGGAGCACTTCAACCATGGGTTTATCCGCCTTGTACAATCCCAGGCAACTTTCTCTCCAAAGGTAAATGATTTTTTTAGAAAAAGTTTGTGATTTCGTAAAATAATGTTTCAAACATTTCATCGGAGAAGTTGCTTTTGAAGTTTGATATTTGGCATAATTCTATTGAGTTTCATCATAAATCGTTAGCTACGTCTACTGTACATTATTTTGTAGTTTTTATACTTGCATTGCTTAACCACTAAACATATTACCGTCGTAATTCGCTGTTGCTTACTGGTATCTTTTCAACACGCATGACGGAGAGTAATTTCTGTGAGTGGGTGCCGTAGTGTAATAATTGTTAAACTAATGACATTCGAACTTCTGAGAATGTACAAGAACCCAAACTAACTGCCCTTATCGCTAGTAAAAAAAATAATAAAAGAAAGAATTTTATGACGAAAGAAAAATATATTAAGAAACAATAACGTTGGTCAGATTAATGGGAGACGTTGTTTTGGGGGGGAAATATGTTGTGGCTAAAGCAGAAAAACGAGACTGGAGGACTACTGGCAAGTCGGAAAAAGTATTTCGCGTAGTTACTGGGTAGCATATAGGAAGAAAATTGCCCATGTTTGCAAGTCTCGAGTTTCATCGTTGAGAGCATTCAGATGATGGGATGTTTCGTCATGCTACTTCCCTTCGGCGCGTCAAATGGTGAGGACAGGAGTAAATACTGAATGTCGAAACAGATTCTAAATCTTTCTCTAGAGGGTGACTGTTTCGGTTTCACAACTGATCGTTACCCTTTGGCACAGGGATTTTAGACTTGCGATAAGATTTTGATGTCTAACAAATCTTGCGAAAGTAGTGACAACAGTGTGCTCTGACTGCGCTGTAATGGCATTCTAAAGTATTCTTATAGCAAACTGCACCATTCTCTAAGAATTATAGTTACGACATTCGTTATGTAGGTAATTAGTAGTGCCTTTCACATGTAGGCCAAATGTGGTGACCAATTTTCTACCTGCATAAAATGCATTAGGGGTAACTGATATACATTTTTTGTGATGGTACCAACATTCATAACGATAGAAAATGATTAGAACATGTTGTTACTGATTCGAATTACTTGTAAATTTGGCCACTTGAACATGACTTCGTCGTCGTTCTCTACACCGGCGGTGACCGGGAGGTCCGCGGTTCCCTCTGATGCCGGATTTTAGTCACTAGCTAGATAGCAGCCTGCTAGCAGTCAGAAGAGCATCTCTAGCAGCCTGCTGTTGAGCGGTGGTTTCTCCGCTAAACTGCTGGCAAATGCCGCTGCAGTTCCCTTTCAAACGGGTCACGAACCGCACCATTCTCTCCTCTTTACACGCGCACTTACGTGCATTACACTGCCTAATATTGCGAAATTAGTCGGGAGCTTGGAGCTAGTCACGGATGGTATGGTTTCCCTTCTGGGGGATACATTTGGAGATGGTAAATCCCATTGAGCCGATGTGTAGGTAAGCCTCGGATCTCAACGTCCGAACGGGAGGCGTACCGCCACGTCATACAAAATCCCACGCCCCCCTCACGCGCAGTTTCAATTGCTGGCTGCATTCAATCTTGGTATGCTCAGCTGAACAGAAAGGAGTTTTTTAGTAGCAGCATTCCCCTGGTGGTTCCCCTGGTGGTTCTTGTGCATTCTTTGGCGCGGTGTCGCGCCTCGTAGTTGCGTAGAGGCGGCGACGGCCTCCGCAGCTGCGTGATAGGGACCCTAGCGACACACACACACACACACACAATTCATGCGCGCAGCTGCTGTTTGTCGAACTGTCAAAACAAGCCCCAGGCATCCGGAACTGCTCCCACGTCCTGTGCATGCGTGGTGCGTCGTAGATCGAAGGCGGGGGCGCCCGCGTACTTGCTCTCCAGTGTGCGTGCATGCCGCGGATGAGCCCGTGGACATGCCGTGCGTTCGCGCGCTGAGGGAAGACTCGCTGGATGGATCGCCGTCTGTGCCGCTGGTGGTCCAGGGCGGTTGGTGCGCCTCGGCCAGGCGGCCTTCGAGTAACGGTAACGAACGCGTGGCGATTGCGCGGAACGAGAAGGCGGCTCGGGACGTTCGACGAGTAGAGCGCTACTCGCTCTCGCCCAATCTCGAGCAGATGTGCTCGGTGAACATGCGCGTCCTTTGATGCGCCCAAAAGGCCTGTACGCGGTGGGTGGGGGCGGGAAATGAACGCTCGTCGACCGTCGATTGTTCACACTTCTCGGGATTCGGCGAGGAAGCCGCTCGCAACGCGAATTGTGTGCGTGTGGATCCGCTTTCGTGGATTACCGCTTCTCGAATATAATCTCGGTATGGAGGAAAAGTTTTCGGACATATTCTCGAACTGTTTATTCATTTAGTCATGTTTTTTCATATGATGTGTAGATATTTTGGTAATGAGAAATCGCTAGTAGCGATCGAGTAAGAGGCAAATTTTGTTTAGACAATTGGACAACTCTTTAAAATTAACGCTGTCGAAGTTCATGGGAATAAGACAACACCTCCTTCCACCATTGATGCGTCTACGCGCCATATTTAATTGCCTCGAACATTTATTTCATTCTCAATTTTAGTTTATTATGATTTTTATTTAGTATATTTAATAGTCGCCAAAAACGGGAAAACTATTCGTGAGCTATTCTCCTCGACAGGTTTTTGCTTACAAAAAGGTTGAATGAACAAAAAGGTCTTCTGATACAATAATTTTAGTTCAGAAGACATTTGGAGGACCTGTTACCAACATGGATTGTTTCTGGAAAACACGTGCTACACGTAAACAGCGTGAAGCACATGTAACGTACGACATTACGGGGTTGCAAAAAACTGTTACGTATTCGGAAAGGAATGTGAATGACATAAGCCGGGTACATATGCATCCTATTCATAATAGCAGTGGAGTCTGTGCCGTGAATTCAACACTTGACGCGCAACTGCGCCTAGTGTTAAATTAAGGACCGGATTTAAAAAAAGGAATGAATTTTTTTACTCCGTGATTCATGATTCTGTTGGGAAGTAATTAGGGGGCCATGTAATGTTTTAATGTGATAATTTTAATTCGCAGTAATAGTACTATTTTTATACTATTACGCCACTACTCCCAAAAGTAAAATTGACGTATAATGCGGTTTTACTTTTCTCTTCATATAATTTCATTCTCTAAGAAGAGTACTATTTCATTTGAAAAAGAATACTGAGAACGAGATCAAATATTTAGTTCGTCAAAAACCCCTCTTTTTTGATTGTTTATTTTCATGAACAAAGTTCATCCCGCCTTGATTGCACCATTCTATTAGTTACTCCTGAGCCTGAAATCGTGAACATAATCTTCTGAATTCTAAATTTAATATCTTAACGAAATCTCTTCGGAGTCTGCAATTTGTTTTGATCGTAGCTTGTTCTATTTATTTATGTATTGGTGGATTGGACATACAGCGGAATGTCAAAAATTGCGTATATTCGTACTGGATTTTAATCTATTAAACTTCTCTTCCGCACATCAGTTTATACTGTTAGGCGTTAAGCCATATATTAGTTTCTTGACGTTATTTAAATTATTAAAAAGTGTCGAAAATTTGTACTTGTAATTTCATATAGTGGACATGGTGGGAACATCTCTTGTAAAGTCAAACTGCTGGAAGAGCCATCCCGACTCTCATAGAAATTTTTTGTTCCCCGTTTCGACAATTCTTTCAAAAAGTTCATCATTCACTCGTTGGAAATGTGCACGCTTGCACTAATTTTATTCGAAGTCGAAAGAGCGATGTGAAGTGTGGTAAATTGCGGGTGATCGGTGAAGGGGGGGAAGTGTACGCGCGCAGTGCGAGCCGCTTCGATGCCTTTGCACGCAGTTTGTAGCCATCCGCTCGCCCGCCCTCCCGCCGCTAAGTCCGAAGCCGTACAGGGTGCCTGGGGGCGGCGCGGCTCTGTCTGGCTTAGCGAGGACGGGGTGTGCAGGCAGAGCCCCGGGCCGGCGTGGCCTGGCGTGGCGTGGCGTGGCGTGGCGGTCCGCCGAGAAGCCATGTGCCCGCCATGTGTGTGCGGCGCGGCGCGCTCGGATCGCTCCTCTGCTCCCCTGCTCGTCTCCCCCTCGCGTTGGATGTCGAATGCATTTTACGGACGAGGCGCAAGAGCCCGCGAGTGGGGGGTGGGAGCGTGGCTGAAACCCGTGAACCGTTGCTTATTTTATTTCAGCTCACAAATAATTTTTTAACGTAAATAGCAAACGTGAAATAGCTGAATGGTTAAAAGTGAATGGAATGAGTTTTCAGAATGCAATCACCTAAGTCATTTATCTCATCAATCATTTCTGGAACAGATACATAATTCAGAAGATATTCGGTGAAAAGAAAGCGAATTGTCGTGTGGAAAGTCTAAGTGGAAACCATTTCGCAAGCATGTATTGAGGAATCCAAGACTAGTCAAATTGCTGACTTGAAAAAATGAATATATTTCCTACTATACCTATACGCCTCGCGTTGGAATGTCGAATGCATTATTAACGGACGAGGGCGCAAGAGGCCGGCGTGGGGGGGTAGGAATGCGTGCGCTGAAACCCGTGAAACCGTTTGCTATTTGTTACGGACGCGAAGAGCTTTTTTTTTTTTTTTTTTTTTTTTTTTCACTGCCCTGCCCGTGTGTCTGTAAATACATTATGCATATTTCTTCCACTGTTTATTTCAGTGCGTTTGCGATGCACAGAGTCGAACATGCGTCTGTTGAGAATCTGTGCTTGCTAATATTTAGGAGTGTACTTGCGTTGATCTAAAATCGGTTTGCACATGGAGTCTCATACGTAAAGAGGAATTCACTAAGTTTTTAAATAGTAAATTATTACAGATTTCTCATTTTCGTAAAATTTTTAACTATGAACAGATTTTTAACATAGCTGATTATTCACATGAATTCCCGTTTTTCAAATGAACATCAGAATAACAAATTGAAATAAAAACTAGGTTGTGAAAATATTCACGTGATATCGATGCAACGAAAATAAAAACACCAGTTTCTATGGTGCAGTCAGATAAGCCGTTTAGAAATCTTTCCCAGACTATTTTCTTAGGCCTTGGGATCTGCCCGTCACCGATCATGGTGGCCGTCAGCCAGATGTGATGATCGGTCCATCGGGGCCCGAGAGCGCTGCTCCGGAAATGTCGCTCCTCCTGACTCCACTGCTCCCCCACCCTTCCTTCTCTACCCCTCTCGTGCGAGCGAATGGCAGCAGGTAACTTGAAATTCACGACTGAGAGACAAGATGCCTGTTGAAGGGGGAGGCGGAAAGGGGGGGGTGAGAAAAGCCGTCTCGATATTTTACGACTGTTTCAACGTTGACTCTTCACAACGA